TCTTCAGTTTATAGAAAATTCACCTGTTCTAATAAAAAATGAACAACTAAGATCATGATAAAAAAAAATAGATAATTTATTATTTTTGAGGTAACGGTCCCAATAACGGAAACAATAATTATTTATAGAAAAGCCACCTTAACCTAACAACCACCTTACCCTAACAACCACCTTACACTAACAACCACCTTACCCAAACAACCACCTTACGCTAACAACCACCTTACCCTAACAACCTCCTAACAACCAACTTACCCTAACAACCACCTTACCCTAACAACCAACTTACCGTAACAACCACCTTACCCTAACAACGTTACCGTAACAACCACCTTACCCTAACAACGTTACAGTAACAACCACCTTACCCTAAAAACCACCTTACCCTAACAACGACCTTACCCTAACAACCATACCATAACAATCAACTTACCCTAACAACCACTTTACCCTAACAACTACCTTACCCTAACAACCACCTTACCCTAACAACCACCTTACCCTAACCACGTTACCGTAACAACCACCTTACCCTAACAACCTTACCGTAACAACCACCTTACCCTAACAACCACCTTACCGTAACAACCTTACCGTAACAATTCCCTTACCTTAACAACCACCTTACCCTAACAACCACCTAACAACAACCTTACCCTAACGACCATAACTCACTAGACAACAACCCTCGCGAGGTACGCTTTGTATTACCATACTTATCCTTTCATTGCTGTCTATGATTAAACCGTTTCGTTCACTACAGCTACGCGAACGTCACGGAAAGTTTTAGTTTCAAAATCAATAAATAGAATATTTCGAAAGTGTTGTTCCGTAACCAAATTTAGACACAATGTATAACCATTACATTACTTACAAACATCAGCTTTTATTCTGCTACCAGTGTTTATTTGTTCTCGAAGGTAAATTATGACTATATCCGGAATGGTGCGGCCACCTGCGTGGTGAAAATGTAACACAATATGTGTAAGATAGTATCGATTATCAAGATTTTATCTGATCAGGTCAGTGTACCGTAAAGCTAGCGATGGCAAGGCATTTGGCCCATAGAAAATAGGGGCCCTTTTCCTTCTTAAAAAAAAAATTAAAACTTTTACATTGGAATTTTAATATTTGTTTTATATAAATGATTTAAAAAAGAAAATGAAAATCCAGTTTCTTTTCTACTGTAGAAATAATTCAAAGTTCCAAAACGGCCCCAAGTCTTTTCACAGGCAGTCAATAGCGTAGCTAGAGGGGGGGGGGGGGGGTGGGGGGAACATATGTCCCCGGGCGCCGACCTTAGGGGGGCGCCAAAATGGGTTGGAAAAATAAATTGAAAGGTTGAGGGGGGGGGGTGTGCAAATCGAAATCTTGATGGGGGGTATAAATCGAAAAGTTTGTCCCCGGGCGCCGGGAAGGGTCGCTACGCCTCTGCAGGCAGTGGCGTTCAGTGGAGAGGGTCGGAGAGGGTAGAACAGCGCCCATTCGTACTAAATAACACTAACTACGTTTTTGCATTGTCGGGCAAACCATTGAGAGAATGTCTATAAATAAACTTGAACTTTGACTCTTTTGTTAGATTGGCATCCGGCTCTCGTTAATTTGCTCCCATTGCTACAAACCTCAACTGACTGGGAAATTCCCAACCCCACAGACCTGCACCTCCCTCCCGACTGTCTGCCCTTCTCGAAATTCCATCCTAATAAACATCCATGATTACAATTGAGCTATTTAAAAAAAAATAACAACCATGGACAGTAATGTCAAAACTAGTCCAACATGTGTCTATGTTTTTCTACAAAATAATAACATTTCATTTGTTGATCTAATTAATCTTTAATCAATTTTGCGCTACTTATACTATTAATGATTAGTTTTCATCCAATCGCCAAGAAACTTTTTATTTTTCTGAAGAGATACCTGGAAGAAACTTTGACTTTTATCAAAGTTTCTGACATTAAATTACATTTTATTGCGGTGTATATCAGGGAACTTTTCAATCAGATTGCAAAATTTAAATCATTAAAAAAAACAGATCTAAATAAATCATGAGCAATTTTTTAAAAATGTGTGGTTAGTGGCGTCACAAGGTCGGATGTCCCCCTACGCGATTACTCAAGGCGTCACCCCATCATCCCCAACAATTTTACATTTTTGGTGAGGTGTGACCATTCTCTCACTAATCTTTTATTATTTCAGCTGGATAAAACATAGTTAACAGTAAATTTTACAATGTTTCGTCATGGTGTCACTCCAAAATGTTCTCATCCGATGCGGACCGCACCTTAGCCCCCGCCTCGTGACGCTACTGTTTCACTTCGTTTGGCTACGTATAGTATGTTACAGGTTTACAGCAGAGGCGTAGCGACCCTTCCCGGCGCCCGGGGACAAACTTTTCATTTGCACCCCCCCCCCCACTCGAACTTTTCATTTGCACCCCCCTCAAACTTTCGTTTTGCACCCCCCCCCCTCAAACTTTCAATTTGGCGCCACCCCTAAGGTCGGCGCCCGGGGACATATTTCCCCCCCCCCCCCGCCCCCCTCCCCTCGCTACGCCTCTGGTTTACAGTTAGGCTAATTTTTTGTTTGTTACAAAATTACGGGGTAGTAGGCCTACATAAAAATACAGTATTAATACACAATCAGGACGTATAAAATACTAAAATGTACATAATATTTATATTATTTAAAACCCTCCATCGTATTTATCAGTTGATTTCCTCGCTGCCCATGTATTTAACTCCGTAGTAGCTTATCGGATCACGAAGGGGCCCACTGATAATTTTTTCATAGGGGGATAAAAATCCTAGCTACGCCACTGGATCATGTGTGTAAAAGTAAAAGTAGAACGCGGTAGATTAAAATCAAAACTGTAATCTAGTTATATTATAATCTAATTCAAATATAATCTAATTATAAACAAACAATAATTTCTGTGTTTGGAAGTACGACTAGACAATTAGTGTGAGCTGATAATAGCCAGTTACCATTTTACAATGATCTTTAATATAGAAGAATTTATTCTGTCTTAATTATAAATGGGTTTAATAATCTACTTTAGCAACAATGTTCGACTATCAACGACAGCTACCTGTACAGACCATAAGTAAAAAAAAATCAATGTGGCGGCACTAGTTTTCACAGTAATACGTCAACAACATAGGCCAATAAGTATTTCTCTCCACACGGAAATTACGTTTGTTGACGTATCCAAGGGAGTGGTTAAGTAAGTTTGGAAATTCCCGAAGTTAGAAAATATTTTCCAGGAAAAAAATTGTACACATCCCGCACACGCAGTTTCTCGCTACAATTAGGGAAAGTGAAACTGATGAAATAGAGGTGACGTGTTTCTGTGAACTCGTCATATCAAGTGATAAGTTGATCAGGACAGTGGCGTAGCGAGGTCGGGTGTCACCAGGTGCGGCACTAAATGGTGTCACCCCCTCCTAGAGGCGTAGCGACCCTTCCCGGGGACAAACTTTCAAATTTTCGATTGCACGCCCCCCCCCCCTCAAACTTTCAATTTGCACCCCCCTCAAGTTTTACTCTATATATTTTGCTGTTTTTTTTTGCCTTGGTGTCACCCCCCCCCCCCCTAAATGGTGTCATCCGGTGCGATCCGCACCCCCGCCCTCCCCCCCCCCCCCCCCCCACCTCGCTACGCCTCTGGATCAGGACTAATCCTTGAACCGTGAGTCAAGTTGGCATCGGCGCTGGGTGGATTAAGAACGTTATCATGAGGTCGGGGTGTGGGTGTATAATGTCACGAGTCGGTGGACAAAACTACGAATAACAATGTATCGTATAAGTAAGGGAATGTGTGGTAAGTTCCCATTTCAAACCTGACGGTCCCATTGGCGTAGCTAGGGGAGGGCGGGTGGGCCGGCCGCCCGGGCGCAGACCATAAAGTGGCGACAAAGGAAGTAGAAACAAAATTCTCAATTGAAGCTGAATTATATTGCATTATACGCATTTAAAATTAAAAAAAAATCAACGGCGACAGGTAAGAAGCGCCACCAAACTTAACGGGGAAGGGGACACACTTTTTCACCAACATGAATAAGTATAATTATAAATGAGACGGGGGGGGGGGGGGATAAATTGATGGACAGTCCTTTGGTTACACACAAAGTCATATGCGAAGCGATGGGCGCCGGGGGAGCGTCTAATTGAAAGTTTGTCCCCGGGCGCCGGGAGGGGTCGCTACGCCTCTTAGCAAAGTTCGCCTTTTTCTAGAACCTCGACATATGTATGGTAACACTATGCCCAGCCGCCTCTACTTTCTCTAACGTGATTCAGGTACCCATCAGAGTTGGGTGGACTCTGGGACCTTCTACAGGCTTGAACCCGGATTCCATCTCCCAAACAGACATAAACTGTCAAACGCCATCAGACTAGGTGCTCTACAGAGCACATAGAGTAGAGTTCATGTGTCTGACATGAAGGGTATAGTAGTAACAATATGTCAAGCAGCTAATCAAGATGAAGTTGACATCATCGTTCCCTCGTCGCATACAAAGCCAGTTGAAATATGTTGATATCTTCTTCTTCGTTCTTAATTTTAGTGTTCGAAGGGATCCCCCTCCAACACAATTAAGGATACATGTCAACTGGTTGAGCGCCATTGAGGCCATTGACTCCGATTTCAGCCTGTTTTTCTTTTGGATTTGCTTCCATAACCTTTGTCCAACCAAGAACAAACTACAAGGTAGCAGTTGTCTGATTTTGGAGTTGTCTCTCCTAGAAGAGTGGCTGTCCCCAGTTAATGAGCCTCGTCTACCCGAGGGTTCGAACGTTTCGGTTTAGCAACCATGAGCTTTACCGACTTGGCCACGCCGACCCCTATATGTTGATATGATTTTGTCTTGCATGTTCAGCCATATATTACATCGTTTTGTAAGGATTTCAGTTAATCTTGTAACAAAGTTTATTGTTCTATTACAGTAAATATAATTAATCTATAAATAAAATTCGTAATTATAAATTATAATAAGCTCGGATGAATGCATAACAATCTTTATTCACATCAAAAACATGATCTGAAATGATATTTGCAATAATCAAAATACAACTCATTTATTGCTGTTTTCAACTCATGCGTCGTTTTTTATTACCTACAAACACACACATTCAATGGTACATAGCTTAACTCAAAACATCTAAAGAAAGCAAGCTAATTCCCTAACAGAATAAATACTATACTTATTTCTTCCAGAAATATTAAACTAATCTCATTCACAAATAATTTGCTAATCTAAAACAAAAACACTATGCTAATCTAAAACAAAAAACCACTATGCTAATCTAAAACAAACACTACGCTAATCTAAAACAAAAACTTTTCTAATCTAAAACAAACACTACGCTAATCTCATTCAGAACTCACCTTTTTTGTGCCTCAATATGTGTGCAAACATTTTCACTCGCTATAAAAGCTGCCTTTATTTTTTTTTAATTAAGAAAAAAGTAAATTAAAATAAATTTTAAAAACTTCGCCACATACCAATACTAACTCGCATCCTTTAAACTCCAAACCGGACTACTTGGACTAATTATTTATCCAAGGTTAATTAACTTTAACATTGCTTTTTTTAAAAAAAAGTTAAGTAGGCCTAACTGTCTTTCAATCGGCATAAATTGAGCAGTAATGCGATATAATTATTTCAACTTCTATATAATTCATCTTTATGGTGACTAAAATCTAGTTATTTGCTTACAAAAAATTGCTGTTTCGGAAGATTATAAAAAAAATTGTATTTAGCGATAAGGAAATTAACAGTTCATATTGAAATAAATAAGTTTTGATGTGGACTAGCTCGAAGCAATTAAATATTCCTTTATTCTAATCCTTTATACTTGTTTCATCTGTTTAAAATACAAATAAAACTCATGAAGAAAACAAAATGTATATTGCTGAAGAGTTTATAATCTCCGTCGGTATGTCCTGTGGTATGTTTAAACATCGCTGTTGTCTGTCCTGAAATGTTGTATACACATTTTCTGTTGTCTGACGTCATTTCCGGATACTGACAGCACAGGGTGTCTTCCTTATGTTGACAGCTCACCGTTTCGTAGTTGAGGTTAAGGAGCTCTCCTATCCCACAGATTCCGCATCTCGCACAAGTCCACTGACATGCGCAGTCAGATACTTGCTGCAGGAAATACCCCGGTTCACACACAACTTCCGTGTCTCGCGTTTTGTTACAGGGGACCAACTCCACTTCAAGCTGAAAATATTAAAAATAATATCAAATTGATGTATGCTATTGTAACTCTTTTCAATTTGATAAAATCCACACTGAGTAAATCAAACCAAACAGAACAACACGGCAATATGATGGGCAACATTTATAAATTAAAAAGCTGTAAAAAAAAGCAACTTAAGGCTGAAAAATAATTAGAAATGTAATCCTAGAATCAATGGTTTTAAAGTTACTTTTTTTTTTAGTTTAAGGCTACATTTCTATTTATTTCCATTAAGTCTAAATTTTAAGATGAAGTTTCCCTTTCGCAAGATAAAAATGAATTGGCTGTACAGGAACTCCGTGACTGATCTTCTGAAAACCCCATGTCATAGTAATTTGTACTCAAAACTTGGCTGATAAAATTTTTAAATTATTTTTTTTTCTTGATCTATTTCTGCAAATATTTGTTTTACATTTTCAGAGATAAAATGAAATCTACCAAATTGTTTTTGACTTTTTAAATTGTAGTTTAGTGACCAAAAAGTTCAAAATCATCAAATACCCCCAATCTTTAATAAAGTTCGACAATAACCTCACAATAACGTTTTTTTATATCCACATTTATTTTCAAAACACAGCACACAATTTTAACAAATTTTTGTATAAACCATTCAAAACAATTCACGGCATCCATTGTTATATCGAATGGCATATTTTTAATTTGGAGTTTTCTCCTAGATGGGCAGCTCTACCCCTAATAGCGGGACTCATCTGCTCCGGATGTTGGAGGTTAAGAATCATAAGCACATCCTCTAAACCACATCGTCCCAATTCAAACAGTTAACGTAAGGAAATGCATGATTTATGGTTAGGTATGACTTTTTTTTTCTTCAGACACGTAATTTATAGCGTCAGTTGTGTGTTCGCTTTAGTATTACAGTTTTCATCATCGGCTTGTGAGGACTGATACATATTTACAATAGTAATATTTCTTTCTTTCTGTGTTAAAATATATAGATGAATGTATTATGTTTATGAAATAAATGTTAAGTTAACAGTTACGTCTTGATTCAAACGTATGATAATTATGTTCTAGTATATAGGTATAGAATTTTATAAAATATATATGTATTCACTGAAAACTATACAAATACATTTTTATGGCTCACTAAAATTTAATTTATTAAAATTGATGGCTTGAAAATATTTAGTTTTTAAACGTTGGACACGAAGAGTTTTAAAACAAAACCTTACATCTTTTGGTCGGTAGCAAGGGACACAACTCCAATATTTCCTAGACTTGGCCATAGATAGAGTCATGAAATAGTCCTCTTGGCAAGGCTTGCACTGGCGAATCCTGTCGTCGTAATACTGACCAGCCAGACACAGTGTCGTCACATTACCCGGCATCCCCGGTGGTTCCGGTTCTGGAACCGGTCTGGAAGGGACGTCCACGTCACAGACTGGACACGCGGACAGTGTGGTGAGTCCGGTGAGTAGAAGCAGTAGAGTTGACGATGAGGACATAGTTTTCTAGGGCTCTTATCCAGTCATACTGTAAAGAACGAAACGCGATTTATGAAAGAATGTTAAGAGAAAACTAAACGGGCGTTACTTTTGATTCACACACTCGGATAGATGAGGCACGATACCTAAGGACAGCAACCCATTTAGGAGAGACAACTCGATAGCTAGGGGCAGCAACCCATTTAGGAGAGACAACTCGTTAGCTAGGGGCAGCAACCCATTTAGGAGAGACAACTCGTTAGCTAGGGACAGCAACCCATCTAGAATAGACAACTCGATAGCTGGGGAAAGCAACCCATTTAGGAGAGACAACTCGATAGCTAGGGGCAGCAACCCATTTAGGAGAGACAACTCGTTAGCTAGGGGCAGCAACCCATTTAGGAGAGACAACTCGTTAGCTAGGGACAGCAACCCATCTAGAATAGACAACTCGATAGCTGGGGAAAGCAACCCATTTAGGAGAGACAACTCGATAGCTAGGGGCAGCAACCCATTTAGGAGAGACAACTCGTTAGCTAGGGGCAGCAACCCATTTAGGAGAGACAACTCGTTAGCTAGGGACAGCAACCCATCTAGAATAGACAACTCGATAGCTGGGGACAGCAACCCATTTAGGAGAGACAACTCGATAGATGGGGACAGCAACCCAAAACATTAAAGGTAAAGGATTTTTTTTTTATTTTTTTTTTATTTAAAGGTAAATAATTGGTTATAATAATACACTACATACTATTTCAATTGGAACCTTAAAATAATCATCAATGCACTCCCTCTCCCCTCTTTACGCCATACTCCCCTGTCGGATGCGAAATTTCATTTATGTGCAGTTCCTTTTATCTTCCACTTAATAAAATAGAATGTCACTAATCAAAACGGAATTTCCATAAGAATGTAGTGTTCTATTATTAGCGCCAACCCTGCGCATAGGGTGTGTCTCGTATCAGATTACGATACTATTCTCCTCTAAATAAAGGCATGTTTTGTAGAGTAGGCCTATTCGTTTATTGTGTTGTACGTTTAATCCAGCCAGTGTTGAGGCGTACATTGAAAGTATGGACTTTGGTTAGTGTTTGTTTTATAGACTGACTTTACAATCATCATTTTTTTCCCGTTGTGTCCAAGACACGTGGCAGACGAAGTAGAGTTTATCTGTTTCAACGAACTCAACATAGTAGGGATAGCGTGGTCTGTACACTGCCACAATTTTTTTGCGATAAAGGAATCTAATACAACAAAAAAAAAAAAAAAACTCATATTTTCAGAAGATTCCATTATGAAAGCGTTATTGTAAATGGTTATCAGTGTAGTCTTAATGTATAACTGTGGCAGGACTAGGGTGTCGGGATAATTCAAACAAGGTTTTGAGGTTTAGAGAAGTTAGAGAGGTTCTGTGCCACGATATATCATTACAGATATCGTATTTAAAACTAACGAAAATTAGGCCTGCATAGAGAGAGAGAGAGAGAGAGAGAGAGCAGGGAGCGCACTAGAATCACAGACAGAGGAAGAGAGGGTCACGGAGAGAAAGATTGAGAGTTTTATGAAGCAGATCTACAAACACAACCGCACAACTACCGAAGTGACTTGTGATATATCAACATCAAGCTAAACACTAAGATAACCCTGGAGATAGAAATTATATTGTTGACAACACGAACTTAAACTAGGCCTAAATATTCAGCCGATCAAACAAAGAAAATGAAATCGATGATGTCTTAACTGTGATCGGATCTATGACATATAAAGGGAGATCCATTTGCATTGGCATTGATATTGGGTAATATATTTATCTTCCCATTCACTTTATACATACATACATATATATATATATATATATATATGTATATATATATATATATATATATATATATATATATATATATATATATATATATATATATATATATATATATATATATATATATATATAGGCTATATTTAGGCCTATATATGAAATCAGTAATTAAACTTATAACTTACCAACTAAAGAAATCACCTATTTCCACTATGGCGGATCCCTAAATTCTTCATGTCTTGGCCATTGACCACCGGTTTGTTTACAGTTCACATGAACACAGTTGTCAACACAGTTCACTTTCGCGCGTGTAGAACAACACACCCGCTTGTGTCGTTGGTTGGGTCATAACTAAGGGGTAGGCAATCACTGAGTGGTCTCGCTTTTTGACAATGTCAGTACGCGGTTACCTGTCCCTTAGCTGTAGTGAAAGAAAGTATTATAATTATACGTAAGCTCGTATGAAAAATGCCGTGTTGTGGAAGTGTGTTGTGGGTGGGTGGTGTGTAGTAGCATAGGAAAGCGGGTGGTGTAGGTTGTAAAGATAAGCGTGTTACTGTACTTCCGTCTATTATCTTTAAGAGCCTTGTTTTAATCATGAATATCTTTGGTCAACTAGGAAGAAATCTTTTCATTATATTCTTTTGTTGGTATTGAAAGGAAAATAAAAATATTTGTCTATATAACCCTAAGTTAAGCTCTGTACCTACCCTTAAATATAACCTTAACCTTTACCATTACCCTAAACCCTATCCTGAAAAATTCTTGTGGTGCTATCCCTTACCCTATTACAGTGGCGTAGCGAGGTCGGGTGGTACCCGATGCGGCGGAACTTAATGGTGTCACCCCCAGAGGCGTAGCGACCCTTCCCGGGGATAAACTTTCAAAGTTTCGATTTGCACCCCTCCCCCTCAAAGTTTCGATTTGCACCCCCCCCCCCCCTCAAACTTTCGATTTACACCCCCCCTCAAGTTTTTCTCTATATATTTTGCTAGTTTTTGCCTTAGTGTCACCCGGTGCGGTCCGCACCCCCGCCCCCCCCCCCCCCCCCTCGCTACGCCTCTGCCCTATTATATCCCTAACTATTACAATCATGACACTAGTAAAACTGACTCTAAATCTCATTTATGCCGCAAAAATAATCGAGGTCAAGTTCTTCCCTTTACATGCCCCGGAAACTTTTACCTCTCATATGGTTAGACACAGTGGCGTCGTTAGGTCGGGTGTTACCCGATGCAGCACCTCTTATATATATATATATATATATATTATATATATATAAATATATATATATATATATATATATATATATATATATATATATATATATATATATATATATATATATATATATATATATATATATATATAGTCTACATAGGCCTATATATAGTTGCAATTGATGCCACCCCCTAATGGCATCAATTTGTGCGCACATTATATTAATCCACCAATTAATTAATGTGGGAAAAAGCATAGTTTTCATCGTAAACTATTAGAATTTGGTGCCACCCCTTCCCGGTCCCTGGTCCTCTGTAAATTTTGTAGTTGGGGTTACACTCCCCCCCCCCCCCCCCACCCTCCTTTGATAGTTTTAAAGTATGCAAAGCTAATAGTAAAGATGTTCATCTATTGTCGGTTATTAATATAGGTGGATGAACTCTTATTAATCATTAATTGAACCGGCAAAAAAGAATATTTCTTCTAAATATTTTGCAACTTTTCGCCATGGTGTCAACCCAGTAAATGGTGTCATCCGGTTCGGTCCGCTGCCATCGCCCCCGCCTCGCGACGCCTCTGTTTAGACTAGCCTTTATGCACTAAATACCCGTTCATAACTGGGTGTGCGGAGGAGGAGGGGGGGGGGGGGGTCACTACTCTGACGACCCCAGTGACTACATGTGCGCACTGTACCACTAGTCTCAACAACCAACACTGTCTTCATCAGCAGGCATAGTTATGTGAATCTACAGCAATAATTATTCGGCCCAGTCCGGGTCAAAGATAGACTAGACTAGATTACCCGACTCTAGCCTAAGGCCATGATTACTACACTACGGCGAGATATGTGTTACACACATAGTTGACACGTCTGTCTTGTGACAAAGGTGGGGCGGGATATCAGGCTAGACTGTATCCTTGACTGATCAAGATAATATATATATATATATATATATATATATATATATATATATATATATATACATATATATATATATATATATATATATATATATATATATATATATATATATATATAGTTTTCTTTCTTAATCTCGATATACATGTCTGTAAATAAATATATATAGGCCTACATGGATATAGGCATATATACATAGGCCTATACATAAATAAATAAATATATATATATATATATATATATATATATATATATATATATATATATATATATATATATATATATACATTGTTATCGAACTATGTAACTCAGTTTAAATTAAGATTGTATTTTATGCATTCTTTTTTTTTTGGAACATTTCATTTGAGAAGACAATACAAAAGTAACGCATTTGCAATCTAATTAGACAATAAATTAGTCACTAAAGCTTTACACAACCAAAAAGGGAGATAACAAAATAACGTAGCAGCAATCAATTAAGCGAGGTTCTTCTTCTTTCTTTAGATTTGTAATTTTGGACGGGATTTCTACTATCTCAAGTATTTATTAAGTGTCAACAATTATTGCGCGCCACGCAGTCTTTGAGCTGTTCCGATTTAGATTGTGTTCTTCCATAGCGTCAGGGGCGTAGCGAGGGGGGGGGGGGGGGGATGCTGACCGCACCGGGTGACACCATTTAGGGGGGTGACACCAAGGCAAAAAATAGCAAAATATATAGAGAAAAAACTTGAGGGGGGGTGCACATCGAAAGTTTGAGGGCGGGGGGTGCAAATCGAAAACTTGAGGGGGGGGGGTTGCAAATCGAAAGTTTGAAGGGGGGGGGGGGTGGGTGCAAATCGAAAATTTGAAAGTTTGTCCCCGGGAAGGGTCGCTACGCCTCGGGGGGTGACACTATTAAGTGCCGCACTGGGTGATACCCGACCTCGCTACGCCACTGCATAGTTATGTATGTCCTCTTCTGGTGAGCTCTACTCACGAATATTTTTAAACCTTAAACCCCACCACGAGCTCATTATAATGCGATATTTTTTAGCCATCATTACGTCAACTCATTTATGAACGAACGCAACGGAAATTTAAAAAAAAA